CTGGTCTACACTGGTTGCCGAATTTACTTGTATTCCTAACTTTTGTATATGCTGCATTGAGACTTACGGCAAAGAAGGCATTTTTTTTTTTTTTTTAAAGGAAACAAACTCTTAAATCACGAAGCGATATAAAAGCTGCGTAATGCCTACAAAGCTCTGAATTCAGGTCCCAGTTGCTGTCACAAAGGAGTGAGTGAAACTCTCACCCCACCCCTTTTTTATATAATAAAAGTGCCTTAGCATGTGTTGCGGCTGTCACCACTACAGTAAGCTGGTTTACGGATGTTTTCCACTGAGCATCACAATAAAGAGAACCATGTGCTACCAGCCGTGTCTGTAGCGTTTGTCTGCGGCCAGGGGGCCCTGGACAGGACTGGGCCTGGCTTCTGCAGCCGGTGCCGGCTCTGCATCGTCAGGGAGCCAGACTGGCTGAGGCGTAGGCTGGGCTAGCTGTGGGCGGTTGTGCAGAAAAGATAAGATGGAAAGGTGTGCTAGGCCAGATCCAAGGAGGCTAAGAGCATCTTAGAAACCTTGGTTCAAGGCCGGGTACGGTGGCTCACGCCTGTAATCCCAGCACTTGGGAGGCCGAGGCAGAGGGATCACCTGAGATCAGGAGTTCAAGACCATGGCGAAATCCCATCTCTACTAAAAATACAAAAAAATTAGCCGGGCTGGGTGGTGCGTGCCTGTAATCCCAACTACTCTGGAGGCCGAGGCAGGAGAATCGCTTGAACCCGGGAGGCAGAGGTTGCAGTGAGCGGAGATCTGTGCCACTGCACTCCAGCCTGGGTGACAGAGTGAGACTCTGTCTCAAAAAAATAAATAAAAAATAATTTTAAAAAAGTGGACACTATCTGGGTCAGCTTAAGGAGGTGGCTAATTTTTGGCAAAACAGCTGCATGCACATTCCCTGGCCATTAGCCTCCTATGTGCCACCCTGGCCTGTCACCCTGGACAAGTCACTCCCTTCCCGGCTAGCTTCCTTGTCTATTAAAGTACACTGGATCTTTGCTGCTGGATGGCGGTCCTTGCACCGACAGCATTGGCTCCATGTGGGTCCCCTTAAAAACTTTCAGACCCCGCCCCCAACCCTCTGAATGTGACTCCACTTTAACAAGATCTACAGATGATCTTCACGGCCTGCCTCTGCCACAGCAAGGCTGCCGGGGTCA